GCTGCACCAAGCACACAAGTACAGTTCTCTGTCCAGCCTTGCACCAACTCTCGCTGCTACTCTGAGTTGTATGCCATGCTGATCTGGAACTGGCCCTTGCCAAACAGAAGCTCTAACAGCTGAACCTGCCTCCTCTTCCCTCTTCTCATGAGTCATAATTTTGCTCTCATAGCAATCAGCTGATTTTTCACAAAATCTGTAGGAGCTCCATTGTCTCAATAAAAATACTTCTGCTTTTATAGCCTTTGCTTCTGTTGTTTTGAAATTTAGCTTCTGCATTTTGAAAATTTAGTTTGAGACTGGAAGATATCTTCAAGCAAAGCCATGCAAGAAGCAGGGCAATAGAATGAAGACTGTAATAATGTCTTTTAATGAATAAAAAGAAAAGGGGGCGAGGGGGGAAAGAGAGGTTGCATGCCCTTACACATCTGCCCTGGCTCTTTCTCCTTCACTGTGCACACGTCTGTACCTCATGGCTCTGTGTAAGACTGGCATTTCTCATTACCAATGCACTTTGGAGTAATTTTCATTTCCTAGATGTGGAAAGAGAGCTAGAATCAAGTGTCTTGCTTAGGGTTACCTAGAAGCCTGAGTAGGTCCCCAGTCTGGGGTTTCTGAGGTGGCATTTTGTCTCCTGCCAGCTGGAAAACACAAGATATCCCCTTACAGTCTTCAGTACTGGCACTCCATGTGTGGTACCTATGCCACATGTGCCTGCACAGAGAGCTCAGCTCTTCAGTCTGTGGAGATGGCACTGTACTTCCACTGAAAGAATTCAATTTACACTCATATTCCTGGTAAGTTTTTATAAGCTTTTTAAAACCTTATTCCTTCCCTAAAACCCTTTTAATCATGCATCTGAATTAAAGAAACTAGCTCCCAATTCTAGGCACTTCCCTCCCAGAGGAACTAAGCTCATCCTGCATCTAAAGGATCAGATCAATTTCTTCCCAATTATTTTGAAATTAAGATGAAACCTTACTGTAATTAGGGAATATTGCTAGCCAGATAGCTTCAACCCTAGCCCCAGCTTCAAGAAAATGTTTGGACAGACAGTATCTTCAGTTAAAGAAAGAATGAGATTGATTCTTTTTTTCCTTTTTTCCTTTTTTTTTTTATTTTCTGTCAGAAGAAAAAAATATTGAAAATAAAATAGAAAAGGTGTGCACAAACAGTAAACAAGGAGTTTGGTAAGATTTAGAAGCAGGCTTGGGGAAACAAAAGTGATGTTTTCTTCAATTTCTGGGATGGGTACAAGTACCCATGTGGAATTTTATGATGTATTGTTTGTGCAAACAAGTGTTAACAAGATATATATATTAGATATAGATATATATATTGATATATATATAAATGCTATGATATGAAATAATATGAAAACTTAGTAGCTGATAATTTTGATTGGCCAGACGAGGGAATTTGGAAAAGGCCCTACTTGGCAAAAAACAGCTGTGAATTTGGCTCCTAAAAATCAGGTTCCTCCAAGGGATGTGAAGCTGGGCACCAAAAGCTGGTGCTGGGCACCAGAAGCTGGTTGGAAAAAATCTTGTGCAGTAACAGTTTCAGGAGCAGACAGCAGCAGCCTAAATAGTAATTGCTATCACATAACTGAAAAGTCCTGAGATTTACTTAGACAATGTCCCTGGGAACAATCGTTAAGAATGAAGTGCAGTTGAAGCAATTTGTACCATGAAGTCAGACAGGAAATCAGACTAATCCCTGATGCAATTATGTGTAAGCTTGGCTGTCTAAGACTTACTAGAGCAAAAGGGACAGAAGAAAACCAAGCCGGAATGAGATATTGAAAGGTACTGAAAGTAGGTCACTGTCCTACATTACACAAAAGCTAAATGGAGCTCCATCATCCCACAGTATCCTGAGCAAGTTGAACAAAGGACTTTGTCTGGTGCGGATCTCCTGGCAGCATCCAAGTTACACGGCTGTATAAATCATAAAAAAGTTTAGGCACAGCAGAATTTCCAAGACAGGTGGAATGTATTGCACTGAATGAACACTGGAGGAAACCAAGGAGAGCACTTTTGTCATAACTCTGTGTCACTGCATGATAACAAATTCCCATCAAGAAAATCCTGCGACTTATTAAAAGTACAGTGTAATAAGACAAAGGGACATTGAATAGAAAAGACAGGACACAGTTAGGTATATACACTAAGTCACCAAGAGAGAAGAGATGCTTAATTAGTAGAGATAAAATCCAGTAATAAAAATAAAATTGCAGAAAACAAAATCTGTTTTCTACCGAATCTGTTTTCTACGTTATAGACTCAAAACTCTTCATAACAGTTAGTTAGGAGAGATAAGCTTCCTGAGGTGTCAGGACAGCAGATGTTGACCATTCTTGCCCCCCTTCCTTCTCTTTCATATTTAAAGCTTCAATTCCTTTCAAGTTAATTAAAAAATTGAAATTTTTGTATTTTTACTGCATTAAGTACTTTTCCCCCTTCTATAGGCATAGTTAGAGAACAATTGTTAAAAATGAAAACTTCAGAAGATGAAAATAGTTTGAAAGGTTGTTCAAGCACAATGGGTTTTGTTGTTTTGGAATATCCCCAACTCCCCCAGCTTATATTAGCTCAATAATTAATATAGCTTAAGTGTTCTTTTGTTTTTTGGTTTTTTGTTTCATTTTGTTTTGATTTTTTTTTATGTAAAAAGGTCATAATTTCAACACTGAAGCATTATCAGAGCAAGCTGTTTAAAGATGAATGTATATAGTCTTTAGATAATAATAATTTAATCACTTAACTGTGGATATCATATTCATATCCAAAACCACTAGGAAAAGTGTTTTTCTGCTCACAGTCTTGTTGTAGATTACTGGAAATATTTGAGATTAGAGCATAGTTTTCTTAGGTGTATGTAGAGTCCAACATCCTGATGCCACTGCCTTTCCCCGATCTTACAAACAGCAGATAATCCTATTTAGTATCGAACTTTGAAAATTACATGAGAAGAGTTGTCTGTCTGACAATAAGGCCTTCTAAGTTTGTGATTTGAATTTAGGCATCCAGACAAAATGAAAATATTGGCCTTGGCCTTTATCTATTTAGCATGAAGGAAATTGCTAAGACAGACTTGCTTCTGCTTTATTTGTGATGTGTGAGAAGAGATTGTCTCACTAGCATCTCATATGAGGATCCATGGCAGAAGTTGAATAGCAAATTTTAAGAATCCATAAAAATATGATTTTATATTAATTGTCATATTATATAAATAAATAATAATTGGCTTAATAAAAAGAACCAGCTCATAGTGCCCTTGGATAAGTGTCCTAGAAGAAAGAAAACTCTGAACTCCACCGGAGCAGAGCTTCCCAGGACAGTCTGTCTTCATTCCAGCCCTTTGCTGACCCTACAGCTTGAAACCTGGCAAAATTTATGAGCATCCCAGATTCATGTGATGCAAATTTTTAAATTCCCTTCTAGCTAAATGCAGGACATGTCATTTTTTTTTATGTGTCAGTCCATTTCAGTTTATCTAAATATGACTATTCAAATAAATAATTATCAGCTACTTTATGGCATTTAAATTTGACTTATTTTCCAAATGAAAATTATTCTCTATCTCTGGAAAGTTGGAATCTGCGACAAGAAATGCTCCTGAAGCCATTAGCACACATCCTAAATAAAACTGGCCTGTTTTCGCTACAACGAGCAGTGAAAAAAGAAAGTCCATTAGATAGAAATATTGTCTTTCTAAAACCAGCAGATTTTTATTTCTGCAATGTCTAAGCACAGCAATTCTCAGCAGAAAATTGCACTGGAACAGTGGGCGGTTCCAAATTGCTGGAAACTTTACAATGGCTTTTATGTTTAAACATCATTTAGCAGCTGTTAAAGGTCAGCACAAATCCAGTACTTTATCAGTATAAATGAAGTCTACAACTGCCAAGAAAAGAATGCATTAAATAATGCAGTGATTATCATCTTGAATTTTTTTTTTCCTTTCAGAAGTGAAAGGGACCTCTTAAGTGGTTCTATTTTTCTCCTCCTTATTTCAAATTGACAAAGTAAAACACTAATTAAATTATTTATATCAGAAATTTACTTACGAGGATGACACATTTTATACACAAAGCAAGTGAACCATCTGACATATCGTATAGTGCCAGGTGCAGTTAAGAAAATGTAATATAAGTCGGCATCTAGAGGCTAAAAAACCCAACAAACTTGCTCAATATTTCATTATCAATTTTATTTCCTACCATACACCAAATGTACAGCACAGAACACAATTTTGTTGTTTGGATGTAAGAAATATTAATTGTATGAAGAAACAGTATACAAACTACTCCAAATTAAAAAATGCATACATCATTGCTCTTTACAAAAGGTCTAATTTACAGTATAGCTCATCAATGCATTTAAACACAAAAAAATAAAAAAAAGGAAGAAAAACAGAAAGAAAAAAAACCAAAACAGTGCACATTACAAAACACATCAAGTACAAGGGAGGCAAATAAATACAAACATACTTCACAGAACATCCTGAGCAAACAACCAAACACAGATAAATTAACCTGAAGCCATAGTAAATCATAATAATAAATACTTAGGTCAGTAAGAGATTTTTTTTTAGTTAAATAAAATATATAACAAATTTGTTAAAATATTTAGTAAATTAAATTTTAGTCTTTGTAATGAGTGAACTCATTTTGTATGCATTTAACAAGTATAACAAATGTTTGCTTTTTTGTGTTTTTAGCAAGAACAATAACTTTAATAGCAAATTTTTGTTTGGTGTTCTCCTATTTATATTAGACAGCACATATGGTAGCTTTTGAAAAATCAATTTAAAAATAAACACAGCTCCTAAGAACACACATTGTCCCCTGTCTAAACTAAGATCGGAGAGTTGAATCAACCCCCCAAGAAAAAGCAAGCCCCACCTAATGCAGAACAGTGACCACAGTGCATGAGAGTTGAATCACTTCTGAATAGTACTTTTGTGCAGGAACAGTAATAATATAATTGTATATGTCAAGCCTGTGAATGCCATCATATTCAATCTAAATATAAATGCGGCTAATAAAAATAAACACTTTCATTATAGCACGGAAAAATTAAACACACGCTAGATCCATGTATACATTTACACTGAGGCACATATGCACATGAGGTGTGTGTGCATACAAAAAAGGCAGTTTAGCTGGTTGTTTATACCTTTTTCTTAAAAAAAATAAATATAAAAAAAACTTCTGAAACAATGTTTAATTACTTACAATCCCTGAAATAGACATTGCCTCTGTTATAGCAACCGCTAGTTTCTGACGGATTCAGAAGTTCCACACCCAGGCTAACCGGATACCGAGGCGCACGCCCGCACCTCTGCACAAGTGCTCGTCTGTCCACACCTCCACCTGTCTGTCTGCTCTTGTAGCACTTGGAACCCTACCAGAAGACTGGTGACAAATTCAGTATCAGCCTAGTCTTAGTGAAGAAGGATGGGAGAAACCAGTCACGGTGTTGCTACAGGTTATTCAAAGGGACAAGCGACCACCGTGGTGCCAGAGGGGTGTTGTTGCCCTCCAGACCGCTGCCTTCTCAGCTGCCATTACCTTCAAACCAGTATTAAATGCCATTTCAGGGGAGATGTGTTCGACTCATTATGTACAAAGCCTTTAGCTTGGGATGTGCTTGCATTTTTTTAAAATCCAAATCCATTGCAATACTGGTCACTTGCTTAAAACCTCAACGTCTCGTACTAAAAAAGTACCAGTACCTACCTAATTACTCTTCTTGTTTAGAGATATTTGTCATTTCCCTCCATGAGCTAACTCTGAACAAAAACTGCAGTGGTAAAATAAATCTGAAGTTCTCTTGAAGCATTTTAAATAATCATTCTCATAGGCTAAATCACACAGCCAAGTCAAGTGCTTTGCTGATTGCTATATTTCATTATTGCTAACATATTCTTTAACACACTGTTTTCCAGCATACTGTGCTTTTAAGAGCCCAAGTTCCCCACTAGTGGGCACCATTTATCTTCTCATTCCATGCATCTTCACATCTCATGTTACTGCAAACCCATTTCTGATACAAAGCCATTATAAAAAAGCAGGATGTGAGGAAAATAAAACTAGAACCACGGTTCAGTCATTTGTTACTTTCATAGGTATTTTTTTTTTCTTCCTGTACAAACCCAGCAAGTTATTTAATTTACAGTATAGCTTTCAGTCTATTTAAAATCCCATTGGAAAATAAATTAATAAACACATTTGTAAAAATATGGCAGGCCGCAAAAATGCTGTTAAAAGATAAAAAAACCAACTCTTTGATTAGAAATAAATAAAAAATATAAAAAATAGTCGCACACACTTTTTACATTCACTTTACAAAAACTGAGTGCAAAAGAAGAAAAAAAAAGAAATTGTACTGAAATAAATACAATATACTAACAGAGTGCATTGCTGTTAATACAAATAGTCTGTTGTGGTTTTATTCTTTTTTTTTTTTTATGTCAGCTGGGAAAAAATTAGTGCAATGTTGCAATTGTAAATGCAGCATGGCAACCTACACCCCTTAGCAGTACATGAACTCCTAACAGATCCATCTGGAGTTTACTGCTGTTAAGTAATTTCTGTTGCCCAGCAGCTTTCACATCCTACACATGGATGCCCTTCACTGCCTGTTTGATACTTTCCAGCAGAGCTTTGCATTCGGGGGAATAGTCCCGTTCCAGATTGCTGTACATGTCTGTGAGTGTATTTACATATGCTTCGAAATTCTGCTCACTGATTGGCCCCTAAATGGAGACAAAACAGATTATAATTGTAGGAGGTAAAATTAAGGCTGAAAAAACCCAAAAACCCAACCCCAAAGCATGTCAAAGGAGCGATATGGCAACTGAGGAGAAGCCATAAACGGGGCAGCCATCCAAATTAAGGGAGGGGTCGTGGAAATTATAGGAGTTACATGTCCTGGGGAATCCACACTCTCTCCAAGCAAGAAAAGGAGTTGGAAATATTATGGTTAGTGTAAGCTTTTTTTTCTTTTTGTTGTGGCCAATTTGTCTCTGGGGTTGTGACTGACATTCCCCTTAACTGTCCTTTCTTAATCTTCCAGTGGCACTCTTGACATTTGGAAAGGGGACTGGAAACACAAGTTCTTCTGTGGATTGGCCTGTGTTTGAGAGTAAGATGTGAAATTTTTGATTAGACCTTGGTTGTCTCCAGAAAAATTATGTATATGAAACAGGTTATAGGTTTGATCTGGGACCTGAGTAAATAAGCTCATAATTCTCATCAGAGGGAAGTTTTCACTCTGTGCAGGGTGGTGTTCAGACAGGGAGGTTTGAGTGAAAAGTCTGCCTTGCATGATATGGTAGAGGATGGAGATAACAGGGCTGGCTCATTCCTGAAAGGAACTGCACCTACTCCCACACAGACTTCATGATCCTGCATCTCTGCAAAGCAAATAGTCCTACAAGAGCTCTCGGCTAATGCAGCTCCAGTGCTCCTGCCGGTCCCTGAGCTTGCTCATCTGCTTCAAGTGCTGGCAAGACAGTCTCAAAAGAAGACTTAGCTGTTACCCTGCTGGCTGTGGTCTTACCATCTGCGGAAGCTGAATGTCAGCGAGGCTGGAGATAAGGGCTTGGCTTAAGCCAGCTAACTCCTTCAACAGGCTCTCGTTGTTCTGCTCTATGAGTTTGTTCTCTTCTTCTATTGTTTTCAAATTGCTCTCCATAGATGTGATCTAAAAGAGACAGGCAGGCACAAACACAGACAGACAAACCCTTGGCAGCATTGTTACAGCAGTTTGAACACAAAGAGTCAGCTGGGTGATTACAAGAGAGGCCATGGTGGATCTGAAACTCAGATGTACTTTTTCTAGGAGACACATAACTTCTCCACAGAGCATTCAAAGCAAAGAAGAGGTTGTATTTGCTCTGAAACAACAAATTTTGCCGCTAGTTCATGGGGAAACCTTGTGGCAGCAAGGCACTAGCGAGTGTCCCAGAGTGGGAGGAGGGAATTGAGCTTGGAGAGGAAGGTCAGTGTGGAGCTGGGATGGAGAGTGTGGCCTCAGGGCTGGCAGAGAGAAGGAGAAAGGAGGCTGATGTTTACATTGCTGTCTTGCTCTTACAGCATCCCTGCTGCTCCACCACAATAGCAAGGGAACGGGTATTAGCTGTTGTGCTACTTCCCCGCCTTGCTCCTGGGTGAGCTCTGGGCTGGCTGGGATTAGCAACAGGCCTGGTGCTGGGAACAATAAGAAAAAAATAGAGTGGAAAGGAAACTGAGAGGCTGAGCATGTATCACAAAGATGATCTCCGACCAACAGAATGGAAAGGAGGGGTTTGGAAAGAGCAAGAAAAAGCAGCCAAGGTAGAAAAAATGGTATCTTTTTAAAGTGAGAACTCTGGGACGTACTCAGATCTGAAAGCTTAGATTTCAAAAGCAGTGCTGAAAAAACCAGCAATGGAAGGGTCTGGCTCCCCCTCCTGCCCCGTTCCTTGTCCCGGGAGCAGACAGCTCAGCAGGGCAGAACCACGGGCTGCCATCCCTGCACCCCGTCAGAGCAATGACAAGGCACTGACTGGTTCAGCCATATCCACAATTGTCATGCCCACTTTATCCGAATTAGTATGCACCTCTTTGCACTACTTAATTGCCTCCTGCTTGTGGCCACTTCTTAGCTCACACACAGACACATGGCAAAACTCCCCATTGTGAGAAACCCCTTTTTGTGCGCCTGTCCTGCACTACAACCCCTCCTCTGGAGGGTGTTTGTAGCAGTCTAACACCTGGCTGGGGTAGAGTAAAAGGAGGTAGGAGATTTATGGCTTCTTCTGTAGTTCACTTCAGGCTTTACTGGTCAAACTGCCCTCACCAGGGAGAAAGTTTGGGGAGAAGAAATCTGATTGCATAAACCGGGCAATCTCCGTGCAAATCTCACAGTGATCAGAGAGAACCAATTGTCCTGAGACAGTGAGCACAGCCCTCCTGCAGGGCATTTTGGGCTGGATATCCCCACAGCTGCCGTGGTGTGAGGCCAGATTGTTTAGATCCAGCACAGGTGGTAGAAGCAAGGCTTGTACCTTGTTTAGACCATACAGGCAGTGGTTATTGCACAAACAGCATGAGTCAACGCTGCTCATTCCAACGTGGTGCAAATACAGGGGGGTGTGGTTGCACTCTGGTTTAGAGCAGTCTAGATTTATATTCAGTTCACAGATTTCATTTTATTTCACTCTTATTCAGAAAATTCTGAAACTTTTGCTCATGCTTTTACCCAGTCTGCCCAGGTTAACTTCCAGGTGCATCTGGGAGTCTGAAGGGATGAAGGTATACAGCTCACTCCATAGAACCGCTATCGGCATATTAAAGCCACCTTTATCTCTCCAGTACACAAAATAATGAAAGAGAATGACTCTTTTCTGTAACTCCCATCAAAATCCTCTGCTACACAAATTAACAAAATTCTTTACCAGCTGTTGCCTGGAGGAAAAATTCAAACTATTTGAATAGTTGACACTGGGTGAACTAAACTAGGGAAATTTTCTTAGGTACATATTAAACTCATTAAACTCATTAAATTCAACTCTCATTAAAACTTGGAATGGGTTTGTAAGAGGAATTATCATCCATGAAAACTCAAGTCGTAGGACGTCCATGGTTTGGTAAGCAAATGTTTGGTCAATAAAGGAAACTGAATGTTTTTTTCGGTAAGTATGTTTTATTTCTGCTTGCTAAGATTAGCTACAAACTGCCCTGAATTTGTCATTCAGCAGATCTTTAAGACAATACCTGCTGCTTAATTACAAAAAACAAAAAACCAAAAGCTTGGAAAAACAAGTGCAGAGAAGACTATCTATTTTTAAACGTAGCATTTACAAAGCGTTTACTTTATTTATCATGTTTAAACATAGCATAAGGAAAGGTTTTATATTTATGGCATACCTGAGTCTGAAGTTTCATCATGTCAGCTTCAATTTTAAGATTGGATTCATTTAGTTCTTTTATTTCCTCATCCAAGTGTCTTATTTCTTCATCACTCTCAATACCTGTAAATAGTTGAAAATAACAATATCAGATTTAAAGTATCCATATGTAAATGGATGTATGAGTAACAAGCTGCATTACAGGAAAATAAGCTTTTTAACAAATGATTGATCCTTAAATTGTCTTTTAGTTTGTTTTATTGTCAAAATTCTTTCCTACCTGTTAAACATCTATATGAGCTGAAACATAGATGGGGCTATCTTAGTCCTCATTTTTTCACAATTTCTTTTTTTTCATTACATCATGCATATACAAGCTGGAGGATACAGAAAGGAAACATTGCCCAGAAAGAGGAAAGTTTATCATAAAACATGGGGAAATATTTATGGTGCTTGGGTGTGGTTTTTTGTTTGGCTGGCTGGTTGGTTGGTTGGTTTTTGTTTTAAAAGGAATACAACAGCAACCTTTCTTTTTCAGGAAACACACCAGGGAAACATCTTCACTAGTATTATAATTTTTCATTCATCTGTACCTGTTTCTGATCTTGCAAGAATCTCTGTGGGTGCTGTGCAGAATAACCTCAATAAGCACAGCCTTAGTTATCTCTGGTAAACAGTGACATTTAAACAGGAAAGGGTGAAAGTTTCTGAAAGCTAATAAGTATTACAGGGAAAAAAAAAAATAAGAAAGGAAGCCAGTCTTTTTTATCCCAACAAGTTACATAGCAAAGAAAAAAAATCTTCAGTTCTTTAATAAAAGCCTTGTCCTGAAAAATACTGAGCAGTAGCAGCTGCTGGCAATACATGTGCCTGTTTCTGCTCAGAGTATCACTCTGAGCCCACCTCTGTCTGGAGATTTGTGCCACTGTTGTTACTGCTTTAAAGCCTAGAGCTGAGTCTACTGGGGAGCCAGCCTGGGAAACCTGTAAGCAGTAATGCAACCCTTTTCCTCAGCAGTTGGAGGCTAAAGACTGAATTTCCTGAATCCTGGCTCAATGCCCAACTTGCTAAAGCACACTGTATAAGAAGGGAGACTCCTACACATTTCCCCCTGCAACTCTTTGGTAATTATTGCTTTGCACTTAGGTTAGCTAAATTGCACAAGCACTGCATAGATACTAAGCCATGTAGAAATGAAGTTAGAGAAATGAGTCAATTTCTGCCCACAATATTTCTCCCTTCTTACCTTATTCATCAGATAGCTAAGTCCTCCTGATCTGTAACTAATCGTTTATGAATAAAAACAATATTGAAAGCATACACGAATAAAAAAATTATGCTCTGTGACGAGAGCATATCCTCAATTTTGAGTTATCAAAATGTAAATGAGAATTATTTTATAATCTCTCATGCAAATATTTTTGTTAGTCAAGATTTTTTATTGCTAGAGACATCTGAAAGTAGTGAGAATTAATGCCAGAATGGCATAAAGGGGCACAAGTATAAATGGGAGTCAGGGCCCTTCTATCTAAATAAATGTCATCATTTTTTACAGATCTCCTTACCGCCACTTGCTTTAAGCTTGATAGTCATTAATTCTTCCGAAATTTTGCCCTTTTTTATGGTTTGTGCATTCAGAGGACAACCAGACAGGCTGAAACAGATAGGAGAAAAAAACATTAGCACCCACTTGAAAATGGCAACAATCCTTTCAGGCAATATTATCATGCACTTGGACAGACCTCTGTACCTAAGGTCACATCAGAATCTCCATTATAGCATGGCTTCAGGGAATGACATAACTCATAAAGAGTCATTTAGCTGTATATTCCAGCTTGAAAATTGGCACAGAAATCTCAATCTATGAGTAAACAACTCTTAAGCATATTTCAAAATAATCAGAATTGCAGTAGCAGCTACTGTTAAGCTATATGAAGATGCATTTACAGAATTCTTAAAGTCTGAACACTTATAAATTGGGGTTTTTTGCTCCAAAAGGGAGGAGAGTATGGTCCTTTAAAATGGCAAGTTTACTATCCTAAAAAACATTAGTTAATGGGATGATGTTCATGGTGCACAATTATTGTATCACTTTGTTGATATATAATAATGATCAATACAATAATAACTCTGGATATACCCTATAGGGTATAATAGCTTTTTTGAACGGGTCTATTATATAGTCAGTTTGCTTTTTAACTATTGTTCACATTAAATTACATTTTGCTATTTCAAAGCTTACAATTTCATCAGCTGGTAATTATCTGAGGCAATTTTTATAGCCCACTAAAGGGCTAAGAGGAATTGCACTGTCTTAATACTATCTTTATAAATAACAAAGAAGAAATACCCATATGCTAAAGAACTGGCAGAAGGATTTGTTTTTAGGTGTAGCTGAGTAAGGAGTGAGGGAAAAATTTGTTCCACAGGAAAATGTTTGATGTGTGTGTGTGTGTGTGTGTGTGTGTGTGTGTGTGTGTAAAAATAAAAATAAAAAATAAAAAAAAATTTAAAAAAAAAAAAAATCCTATCAGACATGGCATTTCCACATAGAAAAATAAAAACAACAAAACAACAAAGAAGCTTTCATTAGCTTGGCTAAAAGCTATACAAGGAAAGATGGTAGCTCTTCAGTTCTAAATTTCTGCTTATTATCTCTGGCCAGAGCAGGTAGTCAACTGGGAGACTGTTTGAAAGCCATGACAAATGTCCTAAGAAAGGCTGTGGAACAAAGTTATAATTGCTGTGTCATTTTAACTAGCATGATCTTGAGAATGACCCATCTTACGGAGGACAGGAGTCATCTGTACTATGAATTGCTACTAGCTAACATACAGGTTTTTGCTACTTGTTTCATCAGCCACAATTTACAGTAGTGTCCTAATGAAAAGACTTTTAGGTGGAATGTAGGAAATAAATTAGGATAACACTGGACTCTGAATTTATTCAAATGACCTTGGGCATTTCTTGTTTTGGAGAAGTTGGCTCAAAGTGTTAGGAAGAAAGCAAAGGAGATAGAGAATGTAGACTTAGTTACTGTTAAAGACAGAAAACCAAACTTGCCAATCAGACTCCCTGATTATTTTTGATTCAATATGGTCAGATTATCATTTTTCACTGTGATAGATGGTGTTTAATGTTGTTAGTTATATGTGTGACTCCTTCTCTGTAAGGATAATTTTCTTTGTAAGATTGGTATAACTTCGAGCTTCTTTAATCCATATGAGTGCTGCGTGCTTATTGATTTTTTCTTTGTGTAACTTTAGCTCTTTAAATACAAAGTTTATAAGTTTTCCACTGGTAGAAAGATGAAATAAATGACTCTTGGCCAAAGCTTTTCTGGTGACATTTCAATGCTATTTCTCTTTTCTTTTGAAGATAGGCAGATAAAACTCCATATTTCCCTAGGGAAAAACTCCACTTAATTTTAAAATGCATAGGCACTGTGCTAATCTGAACACTTTGGGAAGTCCTGCTTCAATGGGAACACAGAAAAAGACATAGAAGTTTAAGTATCTCAAAGTAATTCTGTTTTGTATTACTTCAGCTGCAAAGTTATTACTCAAAAGACTTCAGCACAATTTATTCTGACTCTAAACTCACATGTTGCCAATTCAAAGTGGAATGTTAAGGAAAAATGAAAAGAGAAAACACAAAGTTATACCTTCTGTGGGTGACAAAAACATTATTAACATGACCCAGCCCGTTGCAGCCTGGCAAAGGACAGTGTGGCAGCTCTTGTTTGTTCAGTTTCCAGGATAGTGAAGACCCATTGACAGGACTCTCCTTCTGTCTCTTGGCAGCCAAAGGACAACCAGAAGCAGTGCGATGAGAAGTGTATTTACCTGATATGTGACCTTGGCCATCACAGCCTATCACTGGACATCTACAGAAACACAGCAAAAGAACCCTCATTTTCACTGGAGAGAGCAGGAAAAGACAGTCTCAAAAAATGCCAAGAAAATCATTCTGGCTGCCTTTGCTGCTTTGCTTTAATGGAGTAAGCCTGGGTCCCTGGTGGCACATTGTACCAGAGCATCCAGTTCTTGTCAAGCTGGGTTATGAGGGTTCAGCTATCTTAAAATAAGGAGATTTAAAATACAGTCGTAGAGACTAAGAAAATAAGACATTCATTTAGATAGAATTTTACCTGAAAAGAAAATTGAAATTCTATCACAGGCAATAAATCACCCTCCTTCAAGTGTATGGAAAGTCAGCATTGTCTCCTTTCTATCTTAGCAGAGGGTGGATTCCTGTAACTGCAGGAAATGTAAAACTTGCATGGAAACCCATGCAAATACTTGTAAGGAAAAGATAGGGGTTTTTTTTGTGCTTCTCTGCCAATGTTTTGCAGTTTTGCATATATCATTAGCAAGTATTAAGACCACATTCCATACTACTCAGTCTTCACTTTTATATTATGGCAGTATCATTTACAAATTTTAATAGAATGTGAATTCAATCCAGGAATGTAGTGAATCTCTACTGAGTTTCCAGTTTTCACTTTAAGTGAAATTTTCATTCATAGATAAAGACATGAGATCTGGAACATATTTTGAAGGTGTCACTCTGATTTAATTAGCTGACATGTTTCACCTCAGTCAGTAATAATTTTCCTTCATTTTGCCAATTTTTTCAACCAATTGGCACTTGCATAGCACTCTTTAAAATAATTGGAGCAATGCAAGCAGATACAGCAATCCTTCCTCACTGTTCAGTCTCCTAGGTGATGGACTCCACCAACTCCACTGGAAGCAGAAACACTTGGTTTGGTTCCAACTCTGGGCACTATTCTCACATGGCTGAGGTTAACTGGGGCATCTCCCTATGAATCCTCAAGTCCTGAGCTCTTACAGGGCATTTCTCCCCCTCCACTGGTGGTGGACCCCTGCTCCTGTACTCACTTAAGTTCAGGGTCTTCTTTTTCTTCCTTGGTAGGAGTGACTTTGATACCTCCTTTCCTGGCACGAGGACAACCAGACAAGCTGAAAGAAGCACACAGAATAAGAGCCACCTCTTTCTGCTGCTGCCAGGTGAGAGCCCTGAGCGCTGCAGCCCCATGTGATGGGATGGTTGTTACCTTCTGTGGGATGCATAGTTCCCTGTCACATGGCCAGAGCCGTCGCAGCCAGGTGTTGGGCACCTATGGAATAATACAGGAAGCTTACAAAGTACAGTCACAAAGATACAGAGTAGATAATAATAATAAAAATATAGACAAAACCTATATTTTGTCTAGAGTGGAAGAAAGAACAGCAGAGCTTTTGTTGAATAATTAAACCTACCTCTTGCTGTTTGTTTGGGTTTTTTTCTTAAATAAGCAGGCTCCATTTTTTGGGGAGGATTTATTTTTATTTTTTTTAATAGCAGAGTTTTAATAAGGAATGTGAAATATATTGTATATGATGTGCAGATTTAGTTAGTTTATATCAATGTTTGCATCAAACATTTTTCCTTGTACAGAATCAACATTACAAAGAGAAGAAAAAAAACAGCTTGATATAGATCTATCTGTAAATTTGCTATTACATGTTTGTTTGTTATTGGTATGATGTTTTCAGGTAGAGATATAAATAAGCACTTTGCCAGTATTTACAGAAGGGAAAATGAAAGCAGAGGAGCAGTTTTACTTTTGGGCATCAGTAGATGATAGCCAGAATTTGAATTTAATAATTTGTGTATTCTAGCACTGTAAGCATAGCACAGGACCATCTCTCTCTAGCTTGAGATTCAGCTGGGTGTTCAGCTGAGCAATTGGATTATGGTTATTTCTGATAGTTAAGGGGTTTCTCTGTGTATGCACAACAAACAAGCCTTTTCAAGTATGAATGTTTAATACTGAAACATCCACACAATAAAAAAAAGAAAAAAACCTGCTTGTTACTGTGCTTTTACCAGTGGCCTGGCAGGGTGGGCTCCTTGCTTGCTGTGCTCAAAAGACAGCTAGGGTCAGTAGGTCTTTCCACTGACTTCTGTGGGGTTTGGAGCAGGATCTCTCTGTTAACACCTTCCACCTCAGAAGTACAAAGATTTTATTTTTTCTTTAATTTTTCTTTTTATTTTTTTTTTAAATTTAAGCTTGTTGTATATTTGTGGGGTGGTTTGGTTTGAGGTTTTTTCAGAGAATATAAACACACCTCAGCAAACAAAGCAGCACCAAAATCCATTTGCCTTTGAAATTATGCCAGCCTTTTCTATATTTCTGTATTATACAACACAAAGTTCTTACAGGAAACAACCCAAAGGGACTTTGAAATGCTATGCTTTTCACAGAGTATCAGAATTACGTAAGGAATTGTGCCAAACAGTGTTGTACTGAACCATTAAGGAAACTTGCAGGGTTCACTGTGCTCTTAAGAGTCTCAGTCTTTACTGAATCTTTCCTGAGTTAAAGAGATTCGTGATTTCATCTAGGCATTGGTAGGCTGCCATGGAAAACACCTACAAATATAATTGTAATAGCACATCTGAGTGTGCAGGTGCATCTCTTCACTGAATATTTAAAACTAGTTTTCTGTGAACTATTAATTTGTCAAAAAATCTGACTTCTTTTGGACATGAACAAATTTATGCATTGATTCCAGTAGAATACAGCAAAAAATTTCAAATGAAGAAAGGGGTGACTTTTTTTTTGAAGATAATGTCAAAACATTTCATGATGACACTTCGTGAACAAAATATTTTTGTCAGAATGACTTGCCTCACACTGACAGCAAAGGTAAAGGTGGGGGTTTGCAGAGTGCCAGAATATGCTTGACTGTGTAGAACTAAATGTTGACCTGTTTAAGTATGGGACAAGGACTGGGCACAATGTCATGTGGAGCAGGCAAGGGCAGATGTCTGGAGATTGTGAAGGCTCACAAGTAAATCCAAAACACCTGCCAAAAACTAAGGAAATTAATTTTGGCTACTTGTTTTATCAGATGATCACAGATGGAAGGGCTCCCTGCATAGACTGGAGGTGGACTTTAATTCAAGAAAAGCTCTTTGTGTGAGACATTCAGATCTGAAACTCTGGGAGTTGTGAATATACTTAAAAAGGACACTGAACTAAATTTCATATCACCCCATCTGTATTTACCACCTCTGGCAGCAGACAGATTTCCAAACAGATTGGAGTCCAAGCTCTTCTGTAAATCACTGAAGATTTGAGGCTGGGATATTATCAGTACTAATGAAACTGTAAAAGGATATTTCAGGTAGGCCGCTGACAAATTAGTAAAAAGCTTCATTAGCAAGACTCTTAATCTTGACCATTGGGTTGGGTTTTTTAAATAGTGGTTATATCTTTGTATGGATTGTGAAATTCCTGAAGACAAAAGACACTAAAAATCTACTGTCTTGCAATCAGTAATGGTGTGGAATTTCGTCAGCTTTTAAGTGGTGTTTGGACTGGCCCCTAGCTTAGGGAGTCATCCTCTGTAATGGATTCCTGTGCAGAGCCAAGAAAATAAGATTTACATTGAAGATTTACATTGAAGGTCTCAGGACGTCAGATTAAGAGATGTGAACCCTCAGGTGGGTGTAGGTTACAAGTTCTTTTCCAATTCTTCCAAATTTGTTATTCAAAAATAAATCTCTCAGTGATTTCACATATAAATTCTTGCAAATGGGCATTGAGTACCTCCTATTTTGTCCCTTTCTCAAGAGGATTGCTTTATCTTTAGGAAGATGAACTACAACTGCATGTAAAATTCAAACACTGAGCTGCAGGTTTAGGAGCACTTCTGGTACATTTTCTCCCTTAAAAGCTCACCAGAGGTGCTGGATATGAACCGTAGTTAAGGCAAACCCATAGAGAAGAAAAGAATTTTCTGATATTTTTTGTACTGTCTATGGAATATAAATCAGTATCAATGTTTTACATAGAACCCATGTAGAAAAACTGCTCAAATCTCTCCTAAAAATTGATATTAACCACTGCAAAAACCAGTCTAAGGATAAGACTGACCACCTCTTCCTAAAAGTTGCTGAATTGTAACTAAATACCTCTCTAAAATACACATTTAAAATTATTTAAGGCTGGATAAGCAAGCTCTTAATTAAATGGGATATCAGCCACAATTATCGCTTTTAGCTTTAAAATCTGAGTCATCATCAAACTTACTATGTTTTAAATTGACTACCTCAGATTGTTCTGAGCAGCAAGAATCCTCACACAGGAATTTTCTTGAATCTGAATCACGGCCCACTTTCTGAGCAGATCTTCCTTATTTCCAAACTGTGGATCACATGGAAGCCTTGTATCTTTGCTGGCATAGAGTTTCATAATTAAAGCCAAAATCTTATCTTGATTCTGGCAAATTAAACATGAATAACATTTGGAAAAAATACACAGCTTTTTCATATTCATGCCTAACTACATGAGGGTACTTTCCTGGCCTGATTCTATGAGCATTTATGCCCTCTGCTCACACAGCAATGCTAAAATTAACTATTGATATCACTATACCAGCACAAGCATGATTGCAGCATTTTGGAATAAGATTTAATTTAGACAGAAACAGAGTTTTTTTCAAATTATCACCTGAATTATGTTTGCCTTAACCTAAATTAAGGTGGTGCATTCGTGAAAAATAATTTTATTTAGCCTTTTTTCCTTTTGCGAATTGTCTGTGAACAGATTTTGATTTTTGCTCTTTTTCTAGTTAATTGAAATTAAATGCTAACTGCGTTATGCAACATATTTCTGTCTGTGAAATGTCCATGAACTTTGACTTTGTCTTTCACAACTCACTTATTATACATGGCGTACAGTGTGCAGTTTGTCATTTAAGTCATATGCTGTTGCTCCTCTTTCCTTATGGCATGACCAAAACTCTAGAAGCTTTAGTGGAAAAATAACCATATTGGTATGCAAATTTACTTATTCACACATGAATGGGGCGGGGGGGGTGATGCATGAGGAGCAACTATTCAAAATATTTGTGTGAGTGTCTCTGTATGGCAGAAAGCCAATAAAAGCAGGGACAAATATATATGACTCAGCAAATGACTTCAAATTTGTCAGCATTTTTGCAAGTCAGTTCCTTGCTAACCATTCTGCTCTTTTGAAACAAACTAAACCTAAATTTTACACCTCTGAGGATCAGAGATGTCAAAAAATGAAGCCAGTGTGCCAGTTTACCTACTGGCTTTGCAAACTGCTTTGGACAGCTGCCTATATAAATGGTCTCTCTTTGCTATTTTGCTGCATCTCCTGTCATTCATCTTCATCTTCCTGACATTCATCTTCAGAGCTACCATCAGTTCGGCATTTCAGTTATAACTTAAGTTGTAAGGCTATGGAATAAGACCACTAACATTTGATCTGAGGAAGCCAAACACTGTGCCAAGCCTAAATGTAGTCACTGCTGCTATTAATACTACTAGGAAAGGAAAACAGTGACATGATCAGACTTTATTTTCTTCTATCTGGACTAGGGACGAACCTAAAGGACAGAAAGGACAGTCACGGGGTTCTCCCCTTTTTACATGCATTCATGAGTTTTTCCAAGCCATCTATTATGGGATCCAATTTACAAGTTGCAGAGGGAAAGCTATGAAAGAACTCTAATTATCCTTCCCCTTTCCCCACATCCTTATTGACAAAGCCAATTCAATAACTAGATGACTGGTTGCCAGTGCCTCTCTTGACTACAGATTTTTGAAATATTCATATGTCCCTATACATCTGTCTATATAGCAAAGCCTGCACAGTCCTTTTGTAAGTGACATTTCATGGTGAGAATTATGCCAGCACAAAATCATATGACTTGATGTCTGCTTCAGTGACATTAAACTCATAGTATAGGGTAGTGAATAATAAAAAAGGATTTGCAGGTATTCTGGTCTCATTTTTAGATTTATTCTAACCAGATTTATTTATAACTAAATAATTCCAATTAATTCTATCTGGATCAGTTGCCATATCATTCTTACATATTAGATATTTTCTATTCCTCTCTGATTCAGACATACTGAGAAAACTGCATGTTTCCTAGTGTTTACACCTTTTGTCCCCCCAGGTCCTGATTAGTTAATGAAAATGAAGGAGTACAAGAATGAAGAAAGACTAATGGAGAAAAGTAAACTTTGTCTCACTCAAAAGCTTTCAAACCAATTCACTGCACTTTTTAGACAAAGATTTGATACCGCTCAGAGCAAGTCAAATTTACAACTTCAATAACACAGGGAACATGTTTGTAGAAGATAAAAAACAATAACATTTGTGCTGTTGTCAATACTTACTTCAGCTCCTGAGAGTTAGCAGCCATAAGGGATTTTAATGTCTTGTCAGCTAATGGGCACCCAGAAACACTGAAAAGAAATCCTGATGTGAAATATTTTACTAAACCAAAGCATTTATTTTTATCTAAAACAGCAACATCCAGACAATCTGTGAATTTGTATTAGTTAAAATTATACTCTCAAATATTTATTTTTGGCAAAGAAGGACCAGCCAACATAAGACTGTGGTTCTTAAACCACTAAAAAAATGTATGTAGGTAGGGACAATGGTTTCTAGCCCCTGTAAAGCTTTGCCATGAGGGGACAGTGGTAGACAGAATCCGTCCTTGATGTTTCCTTTAGGAAGGAAAGCTAGAGGATCTGGTCCACATGGTAGGTAGAAGGCAGAAAACACATTCTGCTTCAATTGGAGAAGCAGGAAATTATTGTTTCAACGCCTTAGTTGACAGTAGGCTATTTTGAGGAAAATAGTTAGGTTATAATAGCAAATTATGAATTTTGAAGCCATTCACAGATAGGTATGCAGAAACCTCATTTATAATCACATGCAACAGCATCTGTATAGTGACTGCTTGTGCACTCAAGGAAATGCAAATTTCACTAAATGAATTACCTGCAGGTCTCAGCTGAGAAATGCAGCTACAGTAATAAGCATATGCTGCTTAACTGCCTCACTGTATTAAATCCAGCCCTTCACAAATATAACAAAACCAGGAAAAACAGCCACATTTCCACATTTCTCTGTGGATTACTTTCTGAAAATTGCTTTTGAATACTTGTCCCTGGTTAGTACAAAAAGGTTCAAAGCTGACAAGAGCTAGAAGTAGCTCTATTTCCTGCTTTAGGCTTCCTGTTGTTTCTTACCTGCGGTGTGAGGCATAGTTTCCTGTTACATGACCGCTACCATCACATCCTGGGGTTGGACAGCTATGCAAAGAAGAGGGAAGGAGAAATTAGAGTACATATAATACACCACATAGCTCACCATACTCTGCAGAGAATTATGTAATGATCCTTAGGTCAATCACGTTCACCACTGCACACTGTCACGACATTGCAGAAATCTAGAAAAACTTCACTTCTATTTTTTAATTATTACTTGAAGCACAGAGGGAAAGAATTTCTCATATTTCCACAATACAAATAATTCAAACCCTCATTTTTTTTATCTGTGTAATATTACCTTTGCAGGGATATTTTACTTACAAAGTGGGTTCTTAAAAATATTGATTTATTTTTGGCACAAAATTTTCACAGCAATTCATAAATGTTGGAGTTGAAGTTTCTGATCTGACCTCCAGTATAACATACTGGAGGCTAGAGAACAGTAATATTTAAAATAATTCCTTTCACTTCTGACTAAAATAAGGCACCTTCTTTGGAAACATATCCAATATTTATTTCCTGATACAAGTGGGAAACATGTTAGTGTTGCTTGCAGAACAGAAAGCACTTCAATATCGCACATCTGAAGTTCCAAGAGAGAACAAAACTTTCTCAAGCTGTTTCTCAGCTGAACTGAGAAGTGATACAAAGGTGGTTGGTGTGGTTTGGGAATGGTACTCTCCAAACTAGTGTTCCCACCAAGACTCTCCAAAACATAGGCTGCTTGTTTGCCCCCCCTTCCTCCTTCCCCTTCAGCAGGTTGGAGAGTAGAATTGGAGGTGAAAGCCACGTCTTGAGCTAAGAACAATTTACTGGAAACAGCAATGAGATAACAAAATGAGTGGTAACAGCAAAAATGTCCATAAGAAAGTGCCCAAGATGGGCAAATGATTGCTTAGAACAGGTTACCCAGCCACTGACTTTGCCAAACTTACTTGACTGGGAGGAAAACCTTCTCCCTGGGTGAGGTTATAGAATAACCTCCAGGTTCCAGCCACCCCACCTCCTGACTATTGCAAAATTTAACCCTGTCCTGGCTGGAAGCAAGACAATGGCATACACTTAACAGAACAGGTATACTCATTTAAACCAAGAGATGGAGGTATGCACGACCTGGAGAAGTTATAGCTTCTTTTTTTCCTTAGCCCTTCTTCAGTTGTAACACTGATGCCATTTATCAAACTGGGATACAGTTTGCCCTCTGCCAAAGGGCAAAGATACCAAGGAAGACATGGAGAGGGAGGTGAATTAAATACACTTTTGTACAGGACTTTAAAGCACTCTAACACCAACCCTGCAGAGTTGCCTTATAAAGAACTATTTTTCTTTCCCTGGGAATATGGATAAAAAGGGCAAGCAGGTGCTGCACATAAACTGTTAGGTAGTGCTCCATGCTAATGAAAAAGGGGTGCCTGAGATGCTCACCTGGCTATTTTCTCTGAGCTGGCAGAATGCTAGGAAGTTTTTCAAATCTGTAAAAAAGCCTTAGGAAGACATCAGCCTCATTTTCACAGCCCATTTCAACCTGAGCGATGCTGTTATGGCCAACAGAATTAACATGGTAAAATAGAAAGCACATGCTAGATGGTGGAATTCATACAGTAGTTCACTCCAGCTGCGTTAACCATGTTCAAAATTTCTTCTCTGCAAGTGCATATGTCATTTTAAAAGCTTCCTCATGATGGAGCCAACTGTACTGAATTGTTCGGTAAAATATCTGAGCTCAGTGGGATCACAGGAATATAGTCTGATACCTGCACTGCCTATGGATTCTTCAGATAAATTAAAACTATTTCTTATTTAATTTTTGGCACAATTACATTTTATATACCTGTTTTTAGATACTGTTTGAACATAATAGAGTACAACCACTGTAAGCTCATCATTGCCCTGGTAAATGTTTTGGTGTTATTATTTAGGAGAGAAGAAAAGTGTACTACAGGTGTCTCAAAACAGGTCACTATCACAAAGGAATAAATATTACAAAAGAAAAGCCATTAGTCTTCAGCAAATAAACTCTCAGTGATGCATTTGTTTTAGGAGAAAAGGCAAAACAACCTGACCTGTAGCAATTTAGGTCATGAACTACTACTGCAGATATAATGTGGCGAGTAGACAATGTGCAGACTGCTTGACATGAGGGGAAAGAATCGCTTTTCACAGCAGCTTGCCCCAGGGAAATGTGAATTCTAGAGGCAGAGGCAGCTCTAACTGCTCCAGTGCCACCAAGTCTGGAGAGCAGGACACAAGTTGCCAGGACATGACTCGTTTATTTCTGGGTGAGCCTGCAGTGATATGTTATGGGCTATCACCACGAGGTGATATGGACCACACTTGTTCAGAGACCTGCTCTGGTTTGGGACAAAAAGAAATGTGTCATAAATGACTGCTGAGTCCCAGTTGACTATTATACAGAAAACTCTGTGTTCATATCAAAATGATATCGACATGAACCCAAAGGGATTGTGAAGAGCCTAGATGAGATTTTTAAAAAGTGACTTGTGTTTTGAGCTGCTTGGGACAATTTTAGTGAACAATTCTAAATGAAACAAGCTGTTGTATGCAGATAGATTTAATAGGATCTATCTGCAGTTCTACACAGTCAAGTTTTGGAACTTATCACAGAGCAAGTGCATCTCAGAAATTGAGAAAAGAGAGTATTAGTGTATAGTCCTGGGCGTGAATTTCTACAACCACTAGATTTTCAGCAGGACTGAATAATTCTGCTTGGAAGGAAGCAGATGAAGGACTTAAACATGCTTCATACAGGTTGCAAGACCCCATTCTGTCATGTATTTTTTCTTTTTATGGACTCTGCATGTTTTCTGTCTGAGAAATCCTGACTGCTTCTACACAAACTCTAAGCAATGGAGCTATAATGGCAATTGTTCAATTAAAGCTTATTTAATTATGTAAGCATTAGCAGAGTCAATCTGTAGCATGTTATGAAACTGTGTGTTTTGTAGAAGGAGCTGTTGCCCACTTGTTACCTATCTATCTGAGGAAGAAGGAACAGCACCCAGTATAAATTTAGTCCTTAATCTATCTAGACCCCCAGGCACACTCTGGCTTGTGGCAGCTCCAAACCTCACGTCTGCAGACCCACGATGTGGAACTAACTACTGGCAGTGAATTGTGCAAGTCTCCCTCCTCAGCTCCTGCAAATCTACTTCAAAACAGAAATCAAAACAGCAGCATGGCCAGTCTTTACCAGGGCAAAGGAAAATGCAGCATTTTTTGTGACTCACGTGATGAGCTCCTTTTTGAGGTCTCTTGAATGGAGCTTGGGTTTAGGACTCGGTATGGAGACATCTCCTGGGTACTTCTTTTCCTCCATGTTTTCTGGGGAGCTCACTGGATCTTTCTGAAATATCAGATGAGAATTTAATAAGGTCTCTCTCTTCTAGTACTCCCACACATTCAAGAAACAATTTGCCATGGCAAGAAAAGAACCTCTTCTAAAACTTAAAAAAAAAAAAAAATCAAAAAAGGAAGAAATTGAAAAGAAATGTCGGAGAGAAATTAAGGAAGTTTAGCATATCATCGTTTCAGGTTCTTAAAGGCAAACTTTTTAAAATGTTGTTTAAATATTTCTGAAAGCAGATGCAAGTTTAAGCCATGTAGAGGAGAAATTTGTATTTGTTTTATAAGATGGTGATAAAGGCCAAGGAAAAGTACACAGAAAAAGGTGGTTGTTGGTAGATCAAAACAATACTTTGGTAGTTGTGTTCTTTTTATTTGCTTTAGAAGTACATTGCAGACTTTTGAATACAGTTGGTGACCATAAATTACAAAATTACAATAATAAATTTTAAAAATTGTTATTTACCTAAGCAAATGTAAATGCAAAGCTTTTTAGGTCTGTGGAATAGAATCCTATTATCTTATTGAAAGAGCAGATTCTCTTTAAAATAAAAATCATAAAGAACAAAAAACTTTGAAGTTTTCTTAATAGCAGGCTGCTAAGGGTAGTTCTTGATTTCTACTATTTCTAGATCAAAATCATAACTGTTACTATTCTGTTTGGTGGATGGTATGAATCATGAGCATTCACCCCCTTGGGAAGGCCTTTTGGAAACTTGGGAGTCCTGAAAGGAAAATGATTTTTTTTTTTCTGAAAAATCTTCTTTGACCACTTCAAAATAGCTTGGTTTATATTGTTTTGAGACTCAATGCCTTCAATTATTATTATCATTATGACAGATAAGTATTTTCTTTTTGGAGGGATGCTCTGTAGCCATTCTATCATTCTAGAATTCTCCAAAGCTTATAGTGTCAATTATCAGATCTCTATTACTCCCTTCTTGGACTTCATGTTGGTTTTGGGATTCCATTCCAATACTCAGGTGTTTCCCAGAGATTGCCATCTGTAGGAGCAGAAACTGCTGCCTGTGGTTGAGAGGGGAAGGTCCCAACCTCTGCTAAACTCACAGTGCTGGTGCCATGGATGCTTGTGCAGCTGACAAACGTGCCAGGACAGAGGAGCAGGGCTGTCTGCAGAGCTGTTAACACGGAGCGCAGGGCTGAGTCGAATCTGGACTGAAAATGGAGTTTCTGCCTCCTGGGTCTTGTCAGCTCTGCAGGGGTGCTTCTTCTGATAAAGCTTCCATATGGTCCTCAATTCTGGCAGCTCATCTTTGCCTGTTTGGAGGCTGGATCCTCAATATGACTTTCTTCTGCTTTCTGCTACTGGCTACCTACTGCCTACTGTAACTCACGCTTCACATACATGTAGGAGTGATGCCATATTATTGCTGTATCAATTACTACTGATTTTTTTTTGAGCCACATTTGTGAGGTTAATTTGGTTGGGAATAATCTAATCTGCTACAAATACAAAAAGCAAAAATACATATAGTCAGCTTTGCTAAATACTATTTCACAGTAATTAATGAGTAATTATTTTAAATATGTAAAAAAACCTTCATATATTTCAGTCTTGGGGAATTATATTTCTGAAGGAGAACTTCAGATAAGGAGCAACAGAGAAAATTAGCAGCTACAGAGGTCTTGATAAAATGTTAGTGCAGAAATAATAAATGACTGAAAGTCTTCCAAACATGGAAACTAAAATGCTAAAATGCAAAAGTGGAAAAATGGGTGTCAGCTCTGTTCAAGATCCAAGAAACATCAAAGATACTTTTCCAAAGTTGGGTTAAATCTTGTTCTCAGTGGCATATAGGGGTGATTTTGGCAGTGGCATATAGGGATGATTTTACCATGGATATTTGAATTCCTGACTACTTCTGCCCACAAGTTCTGACCCACCTTTCTTGCAAACACATAAGTGCAAGCAGGGGTCATCACTGGTACAAGTTACATTAAAATCAAAAGATCCAGAAGCAACAAAAAATTCTAACCCCCTGTTACCAACTGGAAGGGATCAGATGTCAAAATAATTTCAAAAAACACAGGTAGAATGGTTTTA